ATAATCCAGTGATTAAATACAAACCACTTTTAAATTGTTGAATTTGTTTCCTATCTTTCTAAACTAATAGTTTTTGTTAATTTGTTGTTCTGAAATACTACATGTTTACTATAATAATCAGAAGTATATCAAAGACTAGCAGTAAAAGTTACCCATTATCTTACCATCCAGAGACAATCACTGCTACCAATGTTGTGATTATTATATATTGTAGTTTCAACAAATCTGATCATGGTACATTTTTTTTACAAATTGCTTTTCTATGATAGTAAAGTATTGAATATCATTTTATAAAGTTGCCTATTCCATATGGAGATATGTTAAGTTACTTAATCAATCCACCACGGATATCTGTTTTGCTGTCTTGATCATTGGAACTGTGTATTATGCATTACTATTTCCTATGATTTCAGTCTTAGAAATAGAATCACTGTGTCAAGGAGGAATGACATTTTCAAGGCTCTCCATGCCCATGGCCAGTGTGCCTGAGCAGTGGTACCAATTTAAGAGAAGATGTCTTACTGATCCTTGTGGCCTTTAAATATTCTATTTAATTTTGTTGTTGCTCATGAATAGCTTTATATTAGAGGAGGGTCAGGATGTATCCTATGCTAGTTTGCATGTCTCTGTTTATATACACAGTACACAATCAAAATAGAGAAAAAAATAAAATGAACTTTTCAAAAGTGAAGAGCATAGTCAGCCAACTCATTAGTCAACAGAACCAAATATCAACAGTACAATGATTGAAATTTCTTTTGAGAGCCAAATTTTTTAAACATAAACTCCTTCTAACGCCACTTCTTCAAAATAGACTCATCCAGGCCATGGTATTTTGTGGAAGAGCCACACTCAAGGGGCCAAAGAGCTGCATATGGCTCAAGAGCTGACCACTGGACTGTAGAGAATTGAGAACATCCTTTTGAAAGATGCTAATAGTGGAAGCACTGGCTATATTGGATTTATAAGGTATAGACTAAGTTAATGAGACTAAAATGGTACAAAATGACAAAATAATAGTGGAGATTGTGAAATACTTAAAGAAGAATGGCCAGGCTTTGTTTGTTAAAGAAAAAAATCAGTTGTAAATATTTTAATTGAAAAATGTAAAGCATTAAGAGAAACTTAGATTCCTCTATGTTGGGCTTTTAAGTATTTTTGATAGATGTCTTGTACCACCAAAATATTTATCCTGTTGTGTTCAGCAACCTTTTTTCATTAAGATATTTATGCATATTGATGACCATCTTTTAGTTATTCAGTATGAAATTCAAAGTCTTTGTATACCTCTATACTTCATAGAACCGAATTCTTCATTTGTGTGTATAGAGAGGGAGAAGACAGGGAAGGACTAAGCTATCTGGAAAAAAGTAATATATTTGGCCTCAAGAAACTGGCAGTGAGAGCAAACCATTGAAAATAGTTCTAGAACAAAAGATTTTAAAAATCATTATAAGAACTGCTCATCTATTTTAAGCTCAAAGAGAAAAACTCTAATTGTAATTGGAGTTAATTGACTAGAAGAATTAATTGATTGACTTACATAGTATTTCATTCAGCCTCACTTCCTCTCAATTCATGAGCTGTCTAATAGTAAGGAACAATGAGGAGTTAAATCTAATTTTGTTTTTTGCTATTCCTCATTTGAGGATATTTTTCCATTCATCTTTAGAGAAAGTGGAAGGGAGGGGCAGAGATAAAGAGTTAAATATCCATGGATATGAGAGAGACACATTGACTGGTTGCCTCCTACATGTGACCAGATTAGGGTTATGGATCAAGCCTGCAATTGAGGTATGTGCCCTTGACTGGAACCAGACCCAGGACCTTCAGTCAACAGGCCAGCATTCTAACCACTGAGCAAACCGGTCATGGCAAGTTAATTCTAATTTTTGAAAGGTTTGGTTGGGGATGCCAGTGCTATCGGCCATGCATGAACAAGGAGTTTCCCGGTGGATGCCTGCTATGAATTGTGGGAAAACCTTGTTTTATATTAAAAGGGAAGAGATTTTTTTCATCAAGAAGAAATTTTAAGTTCATATTTTCTGTATTTTAATGATACAGAGAAAGCTAGAAATAATAACTCATGGACTAAAATACATTAGAAAAAATGAAAGTTAAGCACTTGTGACATATGCCCCTGAGATAAGTAGTAAACTCTAGTTATCAATACCTTCATAAAGACCATGACATTTTGCAGCCTTGAGTTTTTCTTAGCATTACATCCTTGTATTTATACATTCAAAATAAAGTATTCCCGTTTTTTAAAAAAATGGTATGTATATTACTTTGGTTTCGTTCATTTTATGGCTAAGAAATATTACTCTGATGTTAAATTAGTGATAAAGATGATTTTTAAAAGGTATAATATAATGGTATATTATCAGTAATTTCTAGTTTAATCACATACAATTCTTTAGCTATGTATTATAGTTTTCATGAATTTCATCTGCAAATTGCTCTTTAGCTTTTTGTCATGGATCATTCTCTATAAAACCAATCTGGAAAAATCTTATTAGGGTTATTTTATTTCCTTTACACATACTTCAGATGGTTACTTCATAATCTCTGAAAACATTTTTGGAAAATCATGAAGTGGATTAATAATTTGGGATGCTAGGTTCTAAGGTTGAAAAAATTTAAGCAAGCTGTTTGAAAAGCAGTTTGGAAAATGTGCTTTGCATAATTTATATCAGAGTAAGAAATATTCTTGCTCTAACTATAATATTACTTACCTTGTTAATTAGAACAAATTCCTCTGACTACCCTTATGTGATGGAGCATTTTACCTAAATATGTCCTGCTGTGAAAAACAAACAAACCAGCCTTACAAAGAAATGCAAATGAAATTTCAAAAATAGTGTTTGAATAGCTCTCTCCTACTTATGACACTCTGAGGAATTCCAAAACTAGAAAAGCTAAGATTCCTATTTCTACCTCTCTTTCAAAGATACTCTCAAATTTTTAAAAAACGTTAATAACATGATTATTTTGGGTCCCCTTAATGTAAAATATGAATTTGATTTTTTAAAGATCCTCTTATAATGATCTTCTTATCATTTGAGATTTTGTTTGCTGTAGAAATAGATATGGGGTAGGGGTGTTCAAAATGATGAGGAACAAAGTTAAAATGTGTCCCCCTTCCCATGTTGTTGAACTTCTGCTCCTACGAACAAGACTCTCTTCTGTTTTGTTTTATGATTTTACAATGCATGACTGCATATCTTATTCAGTGACCCTTTGATCTTTTCCTTTAATTGCATTGATTTATATACAGCTGCACTAACTTTTTATTCATTCATATCTATTCATTTAGCTGTTTAACCAAATGCCTCCCATATGCCAGGCACCGTTCTAGGCACTAAGGACTAAGTATGTAAAAAGAAGGAAAAGAAGGTTTAGCCCAGGCCGGGTAGCTCAGTTGGTTAGAGCATTGTCATATTTGCCCATCTAGATTGTTTGTGATGCTTCACTACATTTTAAATGTGGTGGAAAATGCTGCCATTGACCTTTAAGATCATGTGATGCGGGGTTTTTGTTTTCATTGTGGGATTGAAGGCCCCACTGTGTGCTGCATTAACAGAGTGGGGCCGGCTCATAGCTCTGCAAGGATATGAATAGACTGATGCCTGCAGCTTAGTGGACAGGTCTATAAACTTGGAGCCAAAATGTCATTGGGGAAGGGGGTTATTTATCTGTAAAAGAGGTGAAATATATTTGCTTCTCATACATCAAAGTTGCATTGTAAGGGTTGAAAAAGAGAATGATAAAATTTTGCAAACATAAAGATGTTCTAGAAGCTATAACTAGCATTATCCCAGTTTTCTGTTAGTATCTGTTCACCACTCTCAGTATAATTTATTTGTATGCATTTAAGGAAAGGATGAGTCCCACCAATAGCTGAATTATACATTTCAATGAACTCATTGTTTTTGAAGTGCTATTGACTTGTTTTGGGATCTATAAAGGAACGGTGACATGCCCTTCCTCACTGGTCACCAGATTAAGCAACAGACACTTTGAAGCAGCTTCCTCATGACTGAAGGCCTAATGAACCCAGTAGGGATAGAAAACCCACTGAGCTTCGGAAGTAATCCATCAGATATGACGGGGACGCTTTAATGAGAGTCATAAATAACAACTATGTCTAAGCCCAGGACAAATATGTCAGCACTTCCTCTGGGGAGGAGCTCAAACCCAAGCCATCCTTTGAGCTCTTTGAGGTGCAGTGATGATTTTGGGAAGTTAACAAGGAAGTGGAGCCCTTTCCTGTAATACAAAATGATTAAGAGGACCGGGAAAAAAAATCAATTGACTGATCAATATGGTTTAACTGCTTGGAGCATTTTTTCCCCTCGCTAATCAGTCATTAAGCTATTTCAACTTAATATTTCCAGTTTCTCCAATTACTGGACGGATTTACAAGACTTCAGGATGTCAGAGCCTCCTGGAGCCAGATTCTAGGACAGTTCTCAGTGGAGAAAGAAGGCAATAATTTATAAATGACCCTCTCTCCATTCAGATTAAGGAGATTCTTTATCAGGAGGCTAGGTGGGGAATTGTCTCTCCTAGTTTCTGAACTTGGGGAAATTCATGTGTTACTCACAACTTCTAAACGTGTAAATGTGTTCTAGAACATGGGCGGGAACTTGATTTAATTCAAAAGTAATGGCAATCCAGATCACTAGAGGGACATCTACACACTCTATAAGGTGCAGGCCTTTACCCTAGCTTTTAAACTTCAGCCGTGGTGAGCAGCTAAAAAGACTCCACATTCACACCAACCAAAGGTATTCTCACCGCACCTGGGAAGGGACATAGCATTACCTCCCTGTATATTGTATATCTGTATATTGCCAGAGATTCCAGTATCAAAACAGCGTGTTAACTTTTTCTTCTAAAGTTGAATGCCACTGTCGGGGGGAAAAAGAAAGAACACTGAGAAATAACTTTGAACAGGAGGCAAAACTTTTTATTGCTATGTTTTCCTTTGCTGGCAGACCAGAGCAAAGGTTTTGTGAACATTTAAAAGATGAAAAAGGTGAAGAATCCCAGAAGCGGTTTATCTTGAAGCGAGATAACTCTAGTATTGATAAAGAAGACAATCAGGTTGGTCCTCAAGTTTGAGAGTGGCTGACGTTGTTTTTTTGAAGGTGGGCTGACTGGATATTCTTGTCGTCCCTCTGTGGCCCCTTTCTCCCTCTCCCCAGCCCCTCTCCTGCTTCCCCTCCCATCTCCCCCCTCCTCTGATACTACCACCCTCTCCCCAACCTCCTTGCCCACCTCACCTCCCCCGTTGGCATTCAGTGAAGCCAGAAACCCACGTCCTGGTTGCTTTCGCGATGGCTCTGTGTTGGGCTGCATGGGTGGTGCTTGGCACAGTTCCTGCTGCATGCGTTGGGGGTTGGGATGCCACAGGCTCCGAGCTGCTGGGAAAAAGCTCTGTCAGTCGCGTTTGCAGATGTCTGTGTAACTATGGCAGTCCTTCCACTCCCTACAGCTCTGTCCTTCAGTTGTGCACAAATTGAGCTGGATTGTCCAAGCGGACCGCTGATCACCGGGTGTAGCCGTAAAGAACAAACCTTGTTATGGTGAGGACAGGTGGATTTTGCAAGTACCCTACACTCAGTCTTCACAGCGAGGAACCAAGTTCATGTTCTAGTCTCCCGACCCTCCTCCCGCCCATGTGTAAAATTGTCTGTGTCAACTGTCTGCTTGTTTTGCATGAACTGTAGCACAATTCTCTTTCTCTGTGTGTGTGTGTATTTCGCTTGTGATAAAACGTTGTGTTGTTGTAGGTAGCTTGACTCATGGTACTTTGCTAAGAGGGGACATGTTTTACTAAATCTCTTCTCTGGATGGTGTGGGATCCAGAGCTCTTAGGGAGAAGACTGTCAATGGCAAAAGAAAACAAGTTTCACATGCAAAGAAGAACAGTCAAAAAGTCATGTAAATGCCGTAACACTTTGTGTCTCTGACAGTCAGAATAGATTGGTTGAAAACGACTTTGCTTTAAAATCCTTAAGGGCAAGATAATAAGCTTCTCACTCAAGTTATTATTTTAATTACTCTCGGTGAGTCACTGGAAGGCAGTATGTGCGTCTCCGATGCACTTAAAAAAAAAGAGAGAGAGAGAGAGAAAGAAAGAAAGCTGTTCATCATTTGTATCTCATTTCCTCCCACCACCACCGACACCAGCACCCACCTCCGAGCTCCACGTGGCTCGAGTTGACTCTGAGACATGTGCCTGTGTCGTGTACCGAGTGGGTGTTTGTTGAATGGATGGATGGATGGATGGATGGATGGATGGATGGATGGACGGACATGGTTAGGGCAGAGCATTTCGTGAGGCATGGCAAGACGAAGACGGGAGGCTAGGTGAGATGCAGGATGTGGTTCAGATGAAGAGCAGTCTTTATGCTGGGTTCTTTGAATGTCACCTTAGATGTCTTGATATTGACCCCGATCAACAAGCACATTTCAAATTTAATTCCTACTTCCTATGCCAGAAGCAATTCCCAGAATCAGTCATTGAGTGAATAAAAAAAATAAAAATTAAAAATAGGATATAGAGGAATAGTGCCCACATCTTCCTTCCTACCCATTACTTCTTGGCCCCTTGCTGGGTTTCTTCAGTCCCCAAGTTTTCAAAGCCATTTCTTCCCTTGATCTAGCCATTACTTCCATGTTTACCAACATGCTGCCTCCTTCTGAGAAGTTAAAACCACACAGGTTAGCAGAGGAGACAGACTGCATCACTGGTGAGCTGTCACATAGCTGAACCGGCTGAACACCCGAGGCACATCCAGATACTTCATGTCAGAAACACCTGTGCTACTTGCATCCAGCACAAAGGCCACCAGCGAACATGCCCTGGCATTGCTGGTCATGCACACACAACACACATGCCCTGCCCGCCCCCACCCTCTGCACAGCATCCTCAGGGACCAGAAGGAGTGAGACTTTTCATGCCCCATTTGTTTAAGGGAACATTTATTAGCCTCAGCTGACAGTTGCTAAACCACAGACTTTTAACAACTCGCCTTGGATAACCCTCCTGATTTCTTTTTTCTGTTCAGCAAAACAGAATGCATCCATTTAGAGATGACAGACGAAGTAAATCAATTGAAGAGAGAGAAGAGGAGTATCAGAGAGTGAGGGACAGAATATTTGCACACGATGTGAGTAGTTGTTTTAATTGCCTCTTTAGTGCGGTCCTCCTGTCAGCAGTAAGGCAGCCTCATTCCCCAGACAGAGAGCTGGCAGGGACGAAGGAAGCTGGAGCCAGGGAATGCATCGAACAGCAGGGAACTCCAGGTGTTTCTGGAAGAGGCCCGGGTTCAGGGAAGCGATGGAAAAGGAGCCAGGGGCTCCCGCGTGTCCCTAGGATGTGTCCTGTGTGGGAGCTGCAGTATAATTTTGGTCCATCCAATAGACCTTGAGTACAGAGGCAGGGTGTCAGGTTTGAGTAGATGCCTTGACGCCAGTTTTGGCCAGGAGATAGGTGTCACCTTGCTGTCTTTTTTCCTATTAACACTGTACAATAGATTCAAAAGCAGAGGATGCTGATCACACACATGCACAGAACTTTCTTTTTTCTAACTTTATTATTTCTGCATTCTTAGCAAGTGTGGGCCTTTTATTACAGCAAAGTTAAACAATATTACCTCCCTCCCCCAATTTCAGATCAAATTTGTTTTGTAAACAGTTTTCATGGGACTAATGACAAAACAACCTCTTTTGTTCAAATTTCCACAAATAAGATGTGGTGGGGATTTTTTTTTAACTCTTTTACTCACTCTGGACAAAATAAAATGCAATTAAATTAGGTAAAAATTAATAGGTACAAAAAAATAAATAAAATAAAGGACTGGATTTAAATGTAAGAAAATGAGAAGAACAAGCAGTTGCCATAGCCATTCCAGCCCATGAAATCACTTGCAGCCTCCTACCACGTTGGGTCTGCTGTCTGCAGAAGCAGAGGTATGAGCTCCTTTGTGTAGACTGGGCCGACACTTCCAAATCTACTGAGTCAGGTGGGGCACTTAGCATCCTGTTGCCATTTGCTTTTGGAGGCTTTTGCAAAGCCAGCCTTGTGACCTAGGCTCCTGAGCTCAGCCTGGCGGAGGACTACTGTGTTCAGTGGGTTCTAGCCCAAGCCAGTTCCGGGACCTCCAGCCAGTGCTGGGTCCTTTAATGTAAAACTGCAGAGGAAGCAACACTAGCTGTCCATTCCCTTCACCTTATTCAGGTTTCCGGCACCTCTTCCTGGTCCCCTCTGCCTTTCTTGGATATATGACAATCAAATGTGACGATTGAATACTCTGGTGTGGAACTCTAGAATGAGGAGCATGGGAGAGACAGAGATAGAGGTAGCCATAGCTGGATGATGTTTGAGTACAACACTAGAATATTCTGTACATGTGTGGTCTAGATTTATATTATGGCCAGAGTTATTGATGGTGAAGCCTGACACATAGAAGGACTTCTGTTGTGACTGCTGGGTACCTATCAGAATGGAATAATGAGGGGATCTGTGCTAGTCCTGCTTTGCTAGTCCTGTAGCCTGGAGGTGGCATGCTCTTGTCCAGTGACCTTCATGGAGAGACACTTTCCTGAAAGCCAGTCCATTCATTCCCTCTCTCTCTCTCTCTCTTTCTCACCCTGACACATACACATTTTCCCTTTTTATGCTGCACTTCTATTCAAAAGTAAATACTAATTCAAAAGCAAATAGAAATCACCCAGACGATGTGCAAGCAGCATTATGCTCATCTTCTCCCCAAAGTAGCACCATATTGCCAGACACTCAAGAGCCAGGGAACAGCAAAGAGCATCACTGATGCCTGCCTGTCCTTTGTATCTAGTAAGAGGTCATCACAGGGTCAAAGGGTCAGCATGACTTCCCTAAGATCCTATTAAGCAGATTAAGTGTAAAGGACCTGAGACCCTGGTTAAAGTTTGGAGGCAAGTGTTGCTGTTTAACCATTGTCCATGATAAAGCATCAACAGATGCAAGCAGTGGAGCTTTTTTAATCAAATTCAAAATATCATGGCAGTTAACTGGTCAAGGGCTCTATGGCCACATGCTGCATTGACATTTAAAGGTAAAAAATAAAAGCAGAGTCACATGTAAGAGAGCTTCAATGCCAAGTTATTGCCGTAACCAACCCATTCCATGCAATCATTCCACATCCTCCTTTAAAGGCACAGGCTGCTTCTCTCTGTGAGAGTAGCCTTGTGAGCTCCCCTACCAGGAGCTCTGGTGGCCAGCATGTCTGGCTTTCCTAATCCAGCCTTGTTTCTGACACTGCTCTTCACCTGATCTCTTAGGGCAGGGGTTTTTCCCTTAGCATCCTGCACTCAGAGTAGGTTCATAGACGGCTTTGGAAATTAAGTGGAAGTCCCAGAAATCATCTACAAAATGCTATGCTCATGAGCAAATGTGCATTTTTTTTCCTAAGGAAAAGGTCTCTAGTGCTTAGTTGATTCTTATAACTTCCATCATCCTGTACAAAGGCGAAGGGCCACTCTTCCTCCCTCATCTGATAGCTCCACGGAGACAATGCAGTCATACCACCGACGTTCCCTGGGTTAGCTATTTATAGCTGCACAAAAAATATTCCCTACATTTTTTCAGCTTAAAACGATGCTATACTTCTTATCTCACGGTCTCCATGGTGTCAGGAATATAGACGTGGTTTGGCTGAGTAATTCTGGCTCAAGGCTCAAGGTCTTTCACGAGGTGAAGGTCAGGTTGTCAGCTGGGCTGTAGTCATCTGAAGGCACTGTGAGTGGGTAGGTGCTTCCAGACTCCCTCACATGCTGCAAGGCTTCTGCTCCTTGCAGGTTAGAGGCTGGAGGTCTCAGTGTTTGTGAACTGGGCCTCTCTATAGGCTGTTGAGTGTCTGTAAGACATGGCAACTAGCTGACCCGAGAGGAAAGAGACGGCCTGAAATGGAAGACACGGTCTTTTATCACCTAATCCTGGAAGTGACATGCCTCCCCTTCTGCTGTATTCTGTTGAACCCATCCTCTGGCCCTGGTCTCATGAGAGAAATATGCTACACAAGATAGTGAATGCTAAGAGTTAGGATCATTGGGGGTTACCTGTATTAACAGGCTATTGCTGTTCCTCCTCTGTTAACACAAATTCAAGGACATAACAGTGATATGAACTTTCTGGAATATATAGGTGTCCCCCCAAAATGTATACATACTTTGAATAATTATTCATTCTAATGGGTTAAATCTGAAAAGAAAGAAATAGCAATTGAGCTATCAGCTGTTACCTGTGTATACATTTTGGGGGGGACACCTGCATATAATAACACATCTTCCTATCACATACAAAGAGAGGACACCTTAATAATTTTCATCTCTGCAACTCCAGGTTCCCAAAGGATCATTGCTGCTGCCCAGACTGTTGAGGTACATGGATAATAATTAAACTCTATGAGGTCAATTATAAAACAAATGCAAAGAATCCAGCATAAGGAAACTAAGTTATAGAGAGCTAATTTCTTTCTTAACTGGTCTTTAATATAGTGCTCTCATAATTTAAAAACAGGCAATGAAGCCAGTTTTCGTTGCTAATTATTAAGTAGTGGAGTCATTCAAACAAGTTGATATATATTTATATTCTTGAGCAGTTTTTTTCCCCTACTTCAAGTTGCAATGGAGAATTCTAGAGAAACATTTCCTAGTATTTGCACGTCAGCAAAATCCAAATTGATTTTAAAATTTAATGCCTTCTTGATAGTTTATAGATGAAGTGTATTGTGACATCTAAGGTGTGTGTGCCTGTGTGTGTGTGTGTGTGTGCTTTTTTGTACATAGGTGCACAATCAGAATACCCAGGTTACTCTGGGACTTTCTAGAAAACAATTTTCAAATTCAGCTTGAGAACTTTGGCACCCGGAGACAAATGTGTTCCTTATTTGAGAACTAAATTGTTTTAAGTCAGAACACAGGACAATTTAGTTCTCGTATAATAAATAAGTGCGTTTTGGTAGTCAGACATGTTTGAAGTATAACTTGTATTTCCCTCAGCTTGCTTCATGATGAGGCCTGTGCGATGCTGCTAGTTTGGGGAGGCTTCGTTTGAGAAAGCAATGTATGTAAAAAAGACATGTTTTGTCTAGAGAGTGATTTCTGAAGGATATTGATGTGCAAACGGGGCCTCGGGAAGGAGCACATCCTGGCCTGCTTTCATGCTCTGGGATCCCTCCTCTGCGAGGACCAGTGAGGGCACTGGTGCCACCTGGATTGGGGGTGGGGTGTGGGAGAGAAACCTGCAACCCATTAGGCAAAATCGTTTTCTCCTTTAAACAAATGAGCCCTTTATATCTGAGAGTGCGTGACAGCTTTGAACGCTGCATTCATCCCTGTGACAATTTTACCTTTCCCTGCTAATAAAATATGCAAGTTATTAATGCTACCCTTTTTTGAAAGTTTATATGCATCAGCTACTGAATGATGGCCTACAGCCATTTCCGTGTTATTTATGAAAATGTGGTGGAGGGATGAGGAAGTGATTTTTATGACCTTTCTGCAAAAATCAGAAAGAGTACTCTTGGGATATGTTTTAAGGAAAGGTATTATTAACTTGTAGGTACTTTATTTATTATTATTATTATTATTATTATTTTAATTCAAAGAGTTCAGGCTGCTTAACTCTTGCCAAAATGCCGTTAGATTCAGGCGTGTGAAGAGGTCAGAATGTCTTTGATCAACTCCTTCAAAGTAGCGGTGGAGTTTCGGTAATTTCGAAACCCAGCCAGAACATTGTAAATGTAACTGACCTCTCCCCAGCCCGAGCTGAGCTGCAGTAAAGAACTGAATTCATAATGCATCTCTGAGACAATCTCCCTTTCTTTCCCTTACCGTGACTTGATTCAAGCCAGTAGCAAAACCCAAACTAAAGGAAGTAAAGAAGCCAGATTTTTCCTGGACTCATAGATCTTTTAAGAAAAGCTTGTTTTTTGGAAATCGACTGAAGTTTTTGCCTGTTGTTGAATAAGGTTGGGGCACACTTGACTTCCAGGATGCATGTGAAATGCACAGAGGGTAAAACAGGCCTGGTTCTGAAGATGCCCTCACCCTCACCGGGATGCTCAGACCACTGAGGAAACCGTCACGCCCAAATCTAGCCCTTTGGTTTTAGTGAGAGGAAATGATTTCTCCAATAAAAAGGACCGAGAAACCAATATCCTGCTCGCTGCTCTGACTAGTGGTTACATTAAGGGCATCTTCAAATTCAAGCATTTGCCATTGAAAGGTCACTCTTATTTTTTAGTTTTATTCTTTCTTAAAATGGACCTGTTACATTTCTGTTTATTCCTTTAGCAGGTCACTGGCCCATCATTTAGAAAATGGACACTGTAATATGGTGCATATGTTTATGTTTAGAAATTCAACCGTTTGAAAATAGTTTTCTGTCGATTCCTACACACATCATTATAGTATAGGACCAGGGCACCGGGTTTTGTTTGGACTTCTCTTTTTTCTGTTGCTAAAATTTAATTTGCTCTGTCTTTCCCTCTCACGTAATGATCATGGAATTTTACTTTCCCTACATTGTGTATAAACACAAGAAAGCAGAGAAATAAGTACTAGGGGGATGGAAGCTCATTTGGTTCTTCCCTATGTGAAACACTAAGAAATCTTACATGGAGGGTGACTTTTTTTTAATTAGCTTCATTTCATTTTCCTTTGTCTTCTGCTCCCTGCTCCCCTCTAAGATTGATTGATGGCATCTCTTCAGCTTAAGAATCTTGCTATCAATCTGTTTCTAGCGTTGAGAGTTGATCATTGCCGGGTGATAACTGCAGGACTGTGGCTTTGTGCTCCCCTCCTGGGGTGGATCTTGCCACGCTTGCACGCTCTGCCCTGACTTGAACCTGCCATCCGGGCTCTTGGCGGCCGCTGCATCTCCCCAGCCTCAGAAGAGACCGTTAGCTCAGGATCCCAGGTCCCAGGTTTCTCCCACAGGCAGTTTAACCCACGTCTCTCTTCTTCTGACCTTGATGCTGAACGGGCTCAGTCTATTTGAAACCGAGGTGCTCTGGTGGAAAATTACTGTGTGCTGCATGAGAATGGTTTCCACTCTGACTCTAACCTATTTTTTTCCTTTTTTTTTTCCTTTTTTTTTCTTTTTCCTAAAAATGGTACATATGTTTTCTTAAAAATTTCCCCCTTGAAGGGGAACAATGAGTTTTAAAATCAGGCAAGGATATGGGATCCCTTCAGCATATCCAGAACCTCTGATACAATCCTCTCTTTATTTTTCAGTCAGTTTGCTCCCAGGAAAGCCTTTTTGTGGAAAACAGGTAAAATGGAATTTGCTTTTTCATGTCTTTAGAGGAACAAAGTGCGTCATGTGTGTCCTATATATATATATTCATAGAGATATACATTTCATATATAAGCATGTGCTTCAATATATGTATCAACAAATACATATATTTATGCGTACACACCTATTTATGTACACATATATGTGTTACTTAGCATGTCTAAACATTATTTCATTGAGAAGAAAAAATTCAGTCACTTCCAAACATGAGTTTAAATGTTTGCGTTATTTAAAGTCTCAATTTCTGGTTCTTCCAACAGTTGTAATTGCTACTGGTCTCACCAGGCATGAAAAAGTATAAATGTCGAGACCCCACAGGAACTTGCAGTTTCATTGGCTTATTAACGAGGTTGCTAAAAGCACTTGTATATTTGGTATTAATAACTACTTCTGTGCTCCATTATTATACATAGCTATACAAATGATAATTAGAATACTATTGTTTTATGTATCTCATTCCAAATAACCTACCAGTCTTTATAAAAGGCCTAACTTGGGAATCTTCTCTAAACTAGTTTAGATTTAGCGGTACACTTGGCATGGGAGTTAGGAGGAGGAGGTGGTTGCTACGAGATGAATAGGTTACAAAATTTATACAAAATCTGGAGCATAAGAGCAGAAATTTTTCAAATTTAGCTTATACCTTTTAAAAATAGTTTCAAACTGATATAAGTATTAAAATGCTCCATTAATTTAATTGTAGATTTTTAGGGGGAATTAAGAATTCCACAGTCACTATATTATTGGGTAAATTGGAATGGAAATATGGTTATTTTTAAAGAGGCAGTTACTTTTATTTTAAAAGTAGCAGTTAATTTTATTTCAGGTGTCAACTTAATGGGTGGCCCCTATAAAATTGATTAAAATGCAGACTGGTTGATTAAATTGCAAGACTTACAGAAAGTTTGAACTGGGCCTTAGAAATGATTTGTGGGGTGGAAATGCAATCACTTATATTATCAATTAGAAATCTTCAAGTAACTAAGTCTCTCAGTTGAATAGTCTTATTTTGGAAGAAAAGATTAATTTAGAAAACAAGTCTACATGACAATTCAAAAACAGTTTTAAAATTTATGCAGATTCAGACTAGTATTTCTTATTTACAGTATAGTTAAGAATCCACAAGCATTAACATCTTAGGGATAGTTCTGAATAATTCCAAAATGTTATATCCTTACCAAAAAAGATTAACTGAGCATTTATAATTTAGTTTAGTGGAAGATCTTATTCCCTAGCCTTCTAGCCAATCATTTTCTCCCACTTTATTCTATAATTTTACTCATTTATTTGAGTTTTGTGCAAACATATTGCTAAAATACTGTGTCCCTTTTATTCAAATTAGGTTGTATTCATCAATACAATAATTGGTGACATACATACATTGCATATATGAATAAGTCTTGAAGTTCCCATAAAGCAAAAATTTAATGGAATGGATTCCCTACAAAAATAAATATCTATCTCATATGCCTGCCTTTGGAAAGTTAATATTTCACTATGCTTAAGAAATAAGGAATAACTTAAATGTTACTCAAGAAAAAAAAATAGTCACCACTAATACATTTAATTAAATATCTGTTATATCTATATCAATTACTTTCTTCTCCTCTTCTATTCCCTCTATGTCCTCATCTCTTCCTTTTCACTTACTAACATCAGTGTTTGAATGCTAGGGTAGGGAAAAATCATGCTGACATTAATTTATTATGGCAAAATTAAATGTCACAAATAAGACAGTATATGGGATTGATTTGAAAGACAGGTGTGTTATACTAGAGTACACTTCCATTTATTACCTTTAGATTTTATGTCATAAAAATCATGTTTTTCATTTCCAGTAGGCTCTTGGAGGACAGTAACATATGCAATGAAACCTATAAGAAAAGACAGCTCTTTCGGTTGGTATGGTTTACTTTTTTAAAACTGTGTTTTCAGATTATGTGGCAGAATCAATGTTAAGTATAAGTGTATTGGTGTAAAATATCTCTGTTCATGAAATAAAATATGTTCAGTTATCTCTTGGTAACGCTTGTTACAGAGCTAGGGTGGAAGCCATATTGGATAATATGAGATCAGGACTGGATGACCATTAGTACTTGGATACAATCCTTCAGCGGTCTTCCTTTGATTTTATGGTTGTTTTATTTTCTCAAGGGCTAACTTTAGAAGTACACTGATTTAACATTCCCAAATCTACTTTGGTGAATTACAGAGTTAAAATTTCTCTGGCAGGATGCAATTGTGTATACATTCCCAACACTGGAAACAAACCATTGATAACTCTATTTGAGTTTTTGTTTTTTAGTTATTACTATCATGCTATTTCAAACAGTATTTTTTTTTTCAAGAACAGATTTTATTTCTAAGGAAAAATAAGAGATTTCTTCCAATTATAATGAACTACTTAAGTTAAGATCTTTTTGTGGGCTATGGGTATTGGATTATATATGTACATATATGAATATATAATTAGCTATAATATTAAGTTATATATTACATAATATAATTAAGTTACTATAATATAAATTATATATTTTAAGTTGTGACCTAGGCTAGAACAGAGGGATCATACCTATATCACTACTCTATTAAATGTACCTCTAGCATTCATTATGAAACTAAGGATATACACAGTGCTCTTTATACACTTAATACCTAATACATACATTAATATGTTAGTGCTTTTGTGAATATTAGGATTCATCTCTGTTGTAGGACATGCAAAACAAAAGAAAGAAAACTCTTGCTCATTTGAAAGAAGAAAGAAAAAAAAAACACCAAGAAAATAAATGGATTGTGTGCTTAGTATCTATCTGCAATAAATCTGAACTTAGACCTCATCATTAGAAAAGGGAGAGTAACTTTTCCCTTTACACTTTGGCAGCAACAAGACACAGGTTCTTTTTTTTTTTTTTAACCTCCTTCATATTTCTATAGGTTGAACTGCATAATCTAATGCCTTCCACTTGTATAATTACATACTTTTCACATTTGAAGATTAAGGAAATAACCTTGCATTCTTCTCTCAAAAGCCCAAGGTAGGACTAGAATGTACCAATATTCCTACACTCACACACCATGACATGGTTTGGTTAGGCAACATAGATAAAATGTGGGTCCTTGCCCCTGATTGGCCAGCTAGTTTCACTTATCCCCAAATCTGGTCCCTAGCCAGAGCTACCATCTCCTCAGATCACCATCCTGAATATGGACACCATTGCCCACCAAAATCTCCACGTATTTCATCCACAAAATGGTAGAAATAATTCAAAGTGTGCATCGTACCTAACCTGGGTCCAGGGCGGGGGGGGGGGGGGAGGGGGCGGGGAATCACTTTCAGACAAAAAGGAAAATAAATGTTGTCAGTTATGTTAATCAGCACAGAAATAGACTAGTCTAGGATCAAATTATGCTTGAGCACAGAGGGCTAGTTCCTTCTGATGGCCAGACATCTCATCACCCTTGTCTTCCTGGTTCCCAGTAGTCAGGGGCCCGGACTAGAAAGTCTCTGGAGGGTATGTTGTTGTTGTTTTAATGTTGTTTTAATGCTTATGATGCCACACCCAAATAAATATGAAATTCAATTCTGGACCTCACCTTGCCAGTGTTAAGGAGAATAATCAATAGATAGAGCATTATAAAATGTGATTTCACTATGTAAATGTCTAGAGATCATAAATTAGAATTAGCTGCACTATTCTGAATTTCATTAGTGCTGTCCCTAAAGCAGCAACATAAATTCTCTTTTTTTAAAAAAAAAAGATTTTTTATTGATTTTTTAAAGAGAGAGAAAGAGAGACTATGAGAAATAGTCATGTGATAGGGAAACATTCAGTTACCTCCTGCACACCCTCTATTAGGGATCCTGCCCACTGTCCTAAGCATGTGCCCTGACTGGGACTTGAACCCAGGACCTTTTGGTGCACTGGACAACTCTCAACTAACTGAACCTCACCTGCCAGGGCTTAAATTCCTTCATTGAACATATGCAGATCTTGATTTAGGATGATGATTTGTGCTGGTGGAGAAGTAAAAAACTTAAGAAAACCTTAGGTTGCCTTATTAGCCAGGGGATATGGCACAAGTCTAGAGGAACTACACAGTGTTCTAGAAACAGTATGCCAGAGGAAGGATGTAAATTACAGCACCCTAGCTTGCACCCAGGAATAGTGGCAGACACCTCCTTTGTAAAGAAAGGCCCCCCCCCCCACACACACACACTGGCATTTAGGGGAAGTCTGGATTCCTCCCAGAACAGGGCAGAGTTAACGGGGAGAGGAAACAGTGAAGCAGAATTAGTTAGGATCACCCCCATGTGGAGAACTTTCTTCTGATGCACCCTGTGTGCTGAGGTAAGAACCAGCTCAAATGTTTCTGATAATAAGCGTTCCCAATTAGCTACAGCTGAGACTGCTGACACAGCCTTCGTACATTGACAGTTGCTAGATACTATTTAGGAAGGCTTTGTCAAAGATGGGTGCAGTTAACCAGAAGTCAATGGGGAAAAGAATGATGCTGAATTTGGAGATGGAGAGGGAGACAACCAGGGATGGAAAAACTCCTCTTTCTAGCAGAAAAGGAAACTTTTCCTCCAGGCTACCTCCTCTGGCTTTCTTACATTTCCAAGGACTTTAAGAACTAAAGTCACGCGGCCACCGGTGAGTGTCTGAGATTTCCTCCTCACAACCTTGTCCTTTTTAAGATGGTCCTTGTTTCTAAAACGGGTCCTAAGGCCCTGAAAACAGAGGATGTTTGTAAGGAAATACTAACCAAGGACAGCAGGGCAGGAAGTGAATTTTGTTTGGTGAGTTTTCTGTTCCGCTTCCTCCCCTCACTTTACAGTTTCTATCACAGATGAGCTACGTCATTTTTATTAACTCTGGGTCCATTTACCTCCTTCCATTTTCATAAATAAAAGAAAAGGCTTAGTAAGTAAAGTTGAAGTAAAACCTAAAATTTTCTCTTCTGCACCTTCTGTACAATTTGGCACATGTTTCAATCAGATATGCATACCCCTAGCTTCCCAAAGTCCATTATTATTCTTTAGAAGAATATTGATCAGCAAAGCTAATGATCCCATGTCTGTGAGATTTGGATCAAGCTGTAGTATGTCACATCACAGTCTTATGAAAATAGGGGTTCTATCTACTGCCTGTGATTTACGTCCCCATTTGCTCATAATCCATGGAAACCTAAGGATATTTTAAGGATCCATTATTTCCAGCTGCAGAAAAGGCTTTGAAAATATTAAGTTGCTCTTTAAGCGGATTGGAAACCAATGAAAATGCAAATTTCACGCACTTTCTCTGGGAGAGACATGCCATTTGGTACACTGCTTCCAGATTCTCTGGAATCCTCAAAATTCACCTGTGGCTATTGACTCTCTTCCAACCCATTCACTCCTTTTTCTATTCGAATTTTGAACAAGTGTGTTATTCCCCCTCTGGAGCTTTGTTGTTTGTTACTTCCATGGATCCCCCTGGAATGTCTCATTGTTGCTAGCACCAGCTTCTCCATGTGAGAAGGATTAAAAGCTCCTTCCTCTGCCTGTGAAGGGTAAATCCCTGGAAAACAATCTCACCATCAGCCAACCGGCAGTGCCTGTAATTTCTAGGCTGTCCGTCAAAGCTTTCATTAGTCATAGCTCATGATGTAAGAAAATACATTAATAAATGGCCTTCCTAAAACTGTGCATTTCCCATAGTCCAGGTCAGCAAACTGTGGCTAGAGAGCCACATGTGGCTCTGTGGTCCCTTGATATTTTAGCAAAGGCCAGCTTAGAAGTACCCTAATTACATTAATAACAATGTACCTACCTATACAGTTTAAATTTAAAAAATTTGGCTCTCAAAAGAAATTTCAGTCGTTGTACTGTTGATATTTGGCTCTGTTGACTAATGAGTTTGCCGACCCGGAAGGAGAGAAAACTCTTGGTTAGGTGTTGCTGTGGATCATCCAAGATCCCAGGTGTTTCCAAACATTGATTCTTTGTTGACGTGGGGTCGGGAGGCTTGATCCTCCCTCGACTCCACCACAGAAGTCTCCAATTATGTTTTCCACCCTATTTTTCTAGTTGTTTCTCCTCCACCGGCAGAGGGGTCAGGGGTCGTGCGGCATTATCAGTTGGGTGTTGCTCTGTCTGTAACCCGTTCTGTGTGATGCGTCCGCCCATCAGTGAGGCATCCGTGGCCCTGCTTGGGAGGCAGCAGGTCTGCTGCGGAGGGTTGATGGGAAGGGTCTTGTGTAGACGACTCTTTGGAGAAAGGTCCCACTGTGTGTCCACGACTGCTCCTGGAAGGTAACCCTGTCCCTGTGCCTTGTTCTGTCGGCCGTGCTGCAGGGGCAACCGAGATGGCTCAGGGAGAACGTCGGGGAGCCGGCAGAGCAGCTCGGAGAATGAACTCAAGTGGTGCGACCACCAAAGGGCCTGGAGCAGCACAGACTCCGAAAGCTCCAACCGCAACCTCAGGCCCGCCATGACCAAGACGGCGAGCTTCGGGGGCATCACGGTGCTGACCAGGGGTGACAGCACGTCCAGTAGCAGGGGTACCGGGAAGCTGTCCAAAGCAGGTAGTTAGCGCTGGAGGGGTTTACGTCCTGTGGTGGTTTCTGAAGTCTATCCCTGTGGCTTTGAATAAACTAATGATGATGGTATTCATCTGGGATAGATTGAGGCCAGAAGGTACAGTTTAAATCAGTGGTCGGTAAACTGCAGCTCGCAAGCCACATGCGACTTTTTGGCCCCTTGAGTGTGGCTCTTGCACAAAATAGCACGGCCTGGGCGAGTCTATTTTGAAAAAGTGGTGTTAGAAGAAGTTTAAGTTTAAAAAATCTGGCTCTCAAAAGAAATTTCAATCGTTGCACTGTTGATATTTGGCTCTGTTGACTAATGAGTTTGCTGATCACTGGTTTTAATACCAGTACCTCCTCTGGCTAGCTGTGTGTGAAAGTCCAATTATTGACCTCTCTAATCTCTAGTTTCCTTATCTATAAAATGTAGGTTATAATAGAATATTACTCTAACCCTCCTCCATAGACTATTTTAACTTACATTTCAATGATTGATATAAAAATGGTTACCAAGGCACCTGCACAGGGCAACTATCCTCTGAAGGTTAGCTTTTGAAAAGTCTAACACTATGAGTTATTCCATAAAACTACATTATGGTAACTTTGGTATTAGTAGTTTCCATTCCTGTTTTGGTATAATGTTAGTATGACCCTGGACAAGTTATTTAACCTTTGTGAGCCTCAGTTTTCTCATCTGAGAAATGGAAATAATAATAATAATAGCACCAATATTTCAAAGTTATTGTTAAAACCGAGAGTTAATATACTCAAAGAAATACTTGGCAGGTTTTTTAGCCCTCAATAAGCACCAGTTCCTGATTGTTTTTATTTTTATTTTTATTGTTGCCATGCAATGTTTCCATCCTTGCTTTGCAGATAAGGAGAGTGGTCCTCAAAAGGTTTAGAGTCTCCAAGTAGCCAGGTCCATGCATCTGGGTTTTATTGTGTGTATATGGGTATGTTTTTCTGGATTTGGGGGGGGGGGGGTGTTGTGGGGGTTTTTTGTGGTGTTTTTTTCTTCTAAGTGAACAGGGATCTTTTTGAGTTTGGTAGTTCAAGTTTGCATGGGTAGGCTTCGGAAGTTCATAATGATGAGAGAGCTTGAACCATTAACTTAAAACAAATTTAAACTGATGGAAGTATCAACACCATGGACTTCACGAGTCTACAAAATACTCCACATGTTCTTCCATTTTTAACTTCTTTTTCCCAAGAATCTCTCACCATCACTTTCAAATATTTATAATTAAATACTTCATAAAATCCTAGGAAGGTAACAGATGGCCCTTAAGTAGCACTCCATGAACTCAAGTTTTTATTGGTATTCATTGATGTATTTGTTTATTATTTTTATTGAATTTACTGGTGTGAACTTGCTGAGTGAAATTGTATACGTTTCAGTTGTATAATTCATCACCTGTATCGGTATCCTGTGTTTATCACCCCAAGTCAGGTCTCCTCCCATCACCATTTTAGTTTAGTATGTACTGTCATTGGTTTGGTTGGTTCAGGTCTAACTTCGGAAGTGGAGAGGCCCTGACTCCCAGCTAGGATATGGGGGGGAGTACTGATATTCCCTAATAGGCCCTGGGTCTCAGGGTACACTGGGGGTGCATTCAGGGCCTGGGGTTACAGGTGAGTGGCAGGCCAGAGACAAGAGGAGAATGGTGAGTGGGCAACACCAGCCAGAGGTTAGACATGGGCTGCCCTAGGCTGTGAGTACTTTCCCCACCAAGCATGCTAGGGGTGTTCTATGAAATCTAGGCTCCTTGTGCTAATCGTTTAACATAATTATGTTGTTGACAGATGCCTCCAGAGAAATTATCTCATGTTTTCCTACATAGGCAGAAAATTAATAGCATTTAGTCATAGTCACTCCTTTAAATGTACATATCTTGCTTCTTGGAACGACTCAGGTGAGCGCTCACATTGCCTCCTGTCATTTTTTATTCACCAATTGGAGGATTCTGGGTTTCTAACTTTAATTAATTGCTCTTGGTGTGTCCCAGTATTGCAGCAACTGAAGTTAAGAAAATCCACTGTGGTGCACTTAAGCACTTGTAAACTAAGAAAGGTTCAATAGTTTTACATCTTCTTAAAAGGCAGAAACCAAGTGCCTTAAATGGCGCCCTTGAAAATTCCAGTACACCTAAAGAGCTCTTATGATTTTTAAATTAGCATTCTCCATGCACCAACCCCCAATACCCTCCAAAGCAAAGCTTTCTGGAAACATTTAAAACACCTCAAGAATGCTAAAATGCCACGTTCTTTGAAGAATGGTCAGAAATTGTAAGTGCTTCAGACATTTTTTTTTTTAAATCTAAGTGTTTCCATTTGAAAGCTTGTCTAAGTGCAGGAATGGAAAGAAAAAGAATAAACTAATAATAATAAAGGGGATCAAGATAGGCTGTCAGCACAAACTCACAATTTCCCAAGCTGCTTTTTATGGAGCAGAGCTGTTCTGCTGTCGGGAAACTTCAGAGCAGCACAAGTTTCCAATTTTTGCCCTCATTGTGCACAGTGGGCTTGCAAACAGTTCTTTACCGTCTCAGAAACCACGTCTGGAGCAGTGACATTTCGGGTGCTCTTCTCCTCTAATGACATCGGTTGGCGCTAAGTAGGTTGTATAGACAATAAGAGGACTTTTCCCAAGTGGGAAACCTGTTTTGCTACATTTCGGAGAAAGCATCTTACTGAAGTCTGAACATACAAGCACAATCTCTGGGGCCTGGGCTGCCTTTTCCCTGTTGCATCCCCCTCACTGAGCACATGGCCACTGAACAGATGTCCAGCACACGTTCTTGGGAATGGATGACATCACCATGTCATTACATTCCTTGGGGTGAGAATCTGAATGGTGCTTGTGCTCCAACCTTGGCAGTTTCTTGGCAATGGTGGTGTGGTTGAAAAATAGGAGTATGACCCCTATTTTTTCCTCTCCATCATTTCTCTATCATCCAGTCCTCTTGACCTCCACAGTAGCGGTCCTCACCTTTCGCTGCATCAGTATCACATGAAGGATTTCTTAATTTGTTCAGAAACCATGCCTGGAGAACAACTGTTTTAGAGAAATAGATAGCCTTCTGTTTTGTTTTAATTATTGTACATAGCCTGGCATCTTGTTTTCTGGATGCAAGGCTATTCTTGCTGACCCCTTCCTAGTCTACACCCTAAAGTATTCTTTTTAAATTGTTGAAATTAGTGTTTTTTTTTTGAAGCCAATGCAAGACACCTCATCTTGTTGCCACTCCTCTTCTGCTTGTTTATTTTCATTATTACACTGATGCATCGTAGATATTTTCTTCTGCCTTGCAATACTTGATCTGAAAACATTTTCTTAAATTCAGAAAAATAATACTTATGTTACTGGGTTCTTAAAAAAGAAAGATTGCATCAGATGAGTTAGACAGGCAAAGAAGACTTTATCTCATAATTGTTGCAATAGGAGTTACTACTATAACAATAGGGAATGGAGATTAAACTCAACCTTTTAAACAAAAGGCAGAAGAGCATTAGTGAGCTGGTGGAAAATGCTGGATGACTTTAGAGAGGTGATTGGTCAGTGTGATTGTACAATCTGTGTTTGCTAATTGGTGTTTATCAAAGCCAGGTTCTTATCCCCCTCCCCCCCACAGAAACTGTTAGACAAGGGCACTATCCTTTTTTTATTTTATTTATTGATTAAGGTATTACATATGTGTCCTTATCCCCTCATTACTCTCCAACACCCCCAATCATGCCTTCACCCTCCCTGTTGTCTGTATCTATTGGTTAGGCTTATATGCATAGCTAAGATTTGGAAACAACCCAAGTGCCCATCAGCAGATGAGGGGATTAAAATACAGTGGTGCATCTACACAATAGAATACTATGCTGTGGTAAAAAAAAAAAAAAAAAAAAAAAAAAAAAAAAAAAAAAAGGAATTCTTACCATTTGCAACAGCACGGATGAAACTGGAGAGAATTGGGGCATTATTCTTCTTAATCTCATTTTAAAGGGATGGCTCCCAAGTCCTCACTAGCTCATACCTAAGATCAGAGTTCTGACATGCCTCATTGGCCTCCAGCTCTTTCTCATTGTCTAGCCCCTCCACCCAGACACAGGCATGATCATTTTTATATGACCTTACATGTTGGAGGTCAGAAAGTTTATTGTATGATTACTCTTATTGTAGTTGTTGTTGTTCAGTCTCTACTAGTGTCAAACTTGGACTGTAACATCAGATTATACATGGCAAGTCCTCAAACAAACTCTACAGTTTCCACTGGGGCTGTGATTTCTGGATCAGAATATCAGTGATGTAGTCTCAGAATTACTCCTCACATTTTCAAAATTCTGTGTAGATCCTTTATTCTTCCCTCCACCATATGTTATTCAGAACCACATTCGTATTTTAAACTGGTTAGTTGGAGCATCGTGAATTAACCTGAAAGTTTATTAATGTTAAGAACCAAGTCATGGAAAAAGAAAAATTTCCAAACTGAGAACATCTGTGGTTGTCCATGGTATACTCATATGCATGCTTTTAGGAGGCAGTTGGGTCCTGGTTAAATCTATATTATTCTGCCAAGAACAAACCATAGCTCTGCCATTCCCTAGCTCTGTGAGTAAACTTGAGTTACCCAACTTCTCTATGGTTCAATTTCCCTATCTATATAGGCAATAATAGTACATACTATTAGAGTTTATCCAGTGGCCACACATACTGAATGCTCAAGAAAAATCACTATCCTCCTCTCCCTCCTCCTCCTTCTCAAAAACCAGCACTCTCCACTGGCCCCTCTTCTTCCTTATAATGGCCTGTTCTATTCCTATCCCTTATTTTCAAAGAATCCCAGTTTAGTTTAAGGGTACGTTTTAAGAATCTTGAAAACAAGGTTAATGTATGTGTTATATATGTTAACATTTAATGCCATAGAAGAATGCATTTTTTTAATGTCCAAAGTTAATAGTGTGTGCTAATAATTTAAAATTTTTATTGTACTGCATTCTTACAATCTGTGGTAGCATCCAAATTACTCATTGGCTTAAATTCACAGATATGTAAGTTTTGTTTGGTGTGTTTTTCTCTTGGATGTTCTGGTAATAATCTGGTTGATGCCCAGAATGGCCATGGTCAAGGTCCCTTAACTCTGGTTACAGGGAAGGGCCACTGTAGCTTAACGAACATGGATGTAGCAACTGTTTCTTTCCCAGAGAAAGGAGAGGGAGATGATTATGGTTAGATTTCACCTTGGAAGCTCCTGCACACTGACCTAATCACCTACACATGAGAAAGCCACAGTCCACAAGCATCCCAAAGACTTAACTATTCTGTGTCACTTAAAGGATGCTTCATTATTGTCATGAAGACCAAACCCTCCTTGGTCCACCTTTTGACTGTGTTAATAAGATTTCTGCAAATGTGTGAACTACAGTGCGGAGCTTAAGCTCTCCCAGTAGGAATGATCCACTCCTTCTACTCACATCTGGGGGGAAAAGATGATTTCCAGCTCTGTGCCTTCACCTTTTAACTTTATACTGGTTGAAGAACCAGTATTTAAGAACCATCTGTATGATTAGCATATCACAGGACTCCTTAAACTGGTCTCTTGAAGCTCTATTTCAGCCATTTTATCCTCATAACTCCAGTAAGACATTCCCATGGCTTTCATTACTCAGGGTGATGGGGGTTTTCAGGCACTGAGTGCAGAGCTTTAGGGTACCATTTACCAGTTAGTTAATCACCCTAGGGCTTAGGAGAAAGCTAAGAGAGTGTTACTCTTAATCTCAGTTTTTAAGGAAATTGACACATCTGAAAACTATGTAGCAGATATTTCAATAAAATATGAGCCCAAAATGTGGGAGGGGCATTTATTATTCCTACCCTGCAGCACTCACCCTAAACTCCTTAATGATGGATTACTTAAAGTAGCATTTAGACCCAGAGCTGTGGTTTTTGTCCTCTTTTCTTTGATAAGTGACATGTCTATTTGTATCTCTGTGGCAGGTTCTGAGTCGTCCAGCAGTGCAGGATCTTCAGGATCGCTGTCCCGCACCCATCCACCTCTGCAGAGCACACCCCTGGTCTCGGGCATGGCAGCCACTTCTCCCGGCTGCGTGCCCTATGCGGAGAGTGGCCTGGGGGGCCAGGTCGGTCCAGGCAGCACCAGCTACATCCTCCTGCCACTGGAAGCTGCCACAGGCATCCCGCCCGGAAGCATCCTTCTGAATCCGCACACAGGTTAGTGCACTATTTCCTCTGCTTTGCCAGGGACTCAAGGCCAGAATTTTGTTCTTGTGCTCAGTCTTGGGATTTTATTAGCCAGTTGTTTAACAATTTTTGAGCAGGAGAACTTGGTGCATGTACTTCTACAGAGGATCTGGATTTAGGATCTGTTGCTATAATTTACATCTCCATACTAATATCAGTATCGATGTAGCTACTATAAAGATATAGATGCTTCCAGAAATGCCCACTGTTCTCTGTCTGCTCTTCACTGACCAAAGTGTTTCCCATGTATTCCCAGGAACTAAGATCTGGGATCAGTGGGTGATGAACTGGGATACACTCATGGAAACTTGGTGTTTCTCAGAATAAATCCCTGCATAGCCTGTTATGATGTTAGAAGTGTCTCAGCATCCAAAATATTTCATGAACTTGAGACATTAATCGGGACACAATGGATTCTTGACTATAGCAGATATTCCTAATCTTGCCACTTCACCCAGTTCCTACTGGACAATAAGGAACATCAGAGGTGAAGAGGGTACAGAGAGCAAATTCTGGTGTATTTTAGAGATTTTAGGCCTAATCTGGTTTGGGTAGAGTTTGGAAAATTGGTCACTTCCTGATTATAGTTTCTTCAAAGGCAAAAGGCTATTGGCTCTTAGTTGTTTTTTTTTTTTAATTTCTCTAGCATTTGGTTGACTTCCATAGACCCAGAGCACTGAGCCCATAGGCGGATGAGCATTTGCTTTATGAGGGAGACTTCCCACGCTGGGCAATGCTGCCCATGCCTCCAAGGCCATTGCCAATATCTGCAGATGTTCTGATTATCATGATCCCGAGGAGGAGGAAAGGGCTGCTACTGGCCAGAGGTAGAGGTCAGAAGTGCTACTAAACATCCTACAATGCCCAGGTCAGCTCCTCGCGACATGGGTACACAGCCCCAAAATGTCAGCAGTGCAGTGGTTGAGAGAGCCTGGGTTAGAAGGTTTAACTTTGACTGGTCACTTCCTCAGAAGCCTTTGTAATGATTGAATTGTCTCAAAAATATATCTGTGGTTTGGTTGAGGTTATTGCAATGTACTTCTTTGATGTGCTAAACTTGAAAACGCAAAACCAGGTGTGACTCCCATAGAAATGATCCGACTCCATCTTCTCACATATATGGTGCTATCAGCCATTAGGAAATTCAGAGAAACATGAGAATGATAGTAAAATAGCTACTTGAATAATTGCCACAGTTTCATGAAAACATGTGGCATGTTCTCAAGGCACAGCGTTTGCCTGAGACGTTTTGAAAATGCTATCAGCTTTAGGGAAAAAGAAGGCGTAACCATTTTATTGAAAACCATCTGAAAGCTCTCTGATTAGATAGTTCTAAAGAGAATATTAGATTGCCTTTTATCTTATTTGGATCATCGAAAAGCACTATAAAATAAATTAAAAGAAAACCAGCATCCTATTCATTCCTCCGCGCGCTGACTCTGTTGGCGCAAATTCTTTCTCTCCTAATTGAGATGGTGGGCTCGCAGAGAAGAGCACAAAACTAAGCATTAGTTTTGAGTCGTTTCATTTTCAGCCAAATTGTGGAGCGTTTCAGAAAAGCACAACAGAGCATTTTTCGGGTATAATGCGAGAATATCACTTGTAATGACAGTGTGGCTGTGCATGTGTATGTGTATATTATCATCTGTAATCTTGTTTACAGAAAAAAAAAGCAAGCGCTTTCTGGTGCCAAGTCCTAATTCTTATTCATCGGATGGAGTCATTTAGAGCTGTTGTCAAAATCTCTCCTTTCAGAACAGATCCTAGCTCAGGAGCGGGATCTAATAAACAGCTTTGCCATACACACTGCTCCCATCTGACAAATACTAGACCTTAAACTGTCCCTGGACAAGGAGGAGAATGTATTCGTACATTGTATACTGTGGTTGAGTAGAGAGATGTAAGGTGGCTTATGATGTGTCTTCCTTTACAGAATGTTTTTGTAAATTGAAAATTGCTCATAATTGTATGTGTATGTGTGTGTGGGCGGGGTGTATATGATCATGACTGTCTGTCTCTCTACCTGTCTAATCTCTTATGGGACTCTCCTCCTGAAACTGGAAATCTGCCTGCTTTGGGGTGGAACTTCTCTTTCTCTGTCATTTCTGTAAATGAAATCCACCCTTCTTATCCTCTGCCAAATACATAGTAGAAATTCTTGGCTATTAGGAACCAAGAGGATATAATTACTTTGCTTCTTATGTCCATTTTTGGGGGGGTTGTTTCCTTGTTACCAGCACATTTATATGCTCCAGTGGGAAGGGACCATATTTGGCTTTTGTTTTACTTCCCTAGATTGGATAACAAATTAGTCTTATGCACTGTGCTTAGGCATGGGCGCTCAATAATCACTTTTAATTGAAATATTATCAAATATGTATGAATAGGGAGCAGTTTTTCATCTAATGTCTCATATTTGAGAATGTGGTTCAGGTATAAAATTAGGATTGATAAAATATCTGTTTTAAGCAGGAGTAAGACAATCAATGATTTGAAAATACGAAGTGCCTGCCAGTCATGTCTTCTAAATCAAAAACGAAACTTCCTTTGTCAGCACAATTGACTTGGCTCTTGTGCTGAGCACAAAATATTTGGGCAAATATTCCTGCAGTTCCCGGATAAGTTCCCATTTTGTCTGGCCCTAGACTCAGTGCTCAGGACCTTGGACCTGTTCTTCCTTTGCTTTTCAGGCACCTGGAGGCTCTTCCAAAGTTCCCCCTCTCTTGAGTCATGTCTTTGCAGAGCAAGCCTGTTCTGAGCCTTGACTTGGATCTTTCTTGGACTCGGCCTCTTTTCGAAAATTCCTAGCAGAAACTCAACTTTGTTTGGCTATTTTCTTTCAACTCAGTGCTATCCAGAGATGCCAGTTGCCTTTGGCATCCCTCAAGTACTTGTCAGTGCCCGGAGAGGTTGTCATTTCACTTTGCTTTGCCTTCATCTGTGCAGGTACTGACTGTGTGATGTGAGGGCTGCCCCTAGGGACTTCACTTTGAACAGCTCTGTGGTCCCGATGGGTCTCCGTGACCCTCTCCTTTTTTTCTCTTTCATAAGACTTCCAGCATCTATTCACCCAAACTGCTCCCACCTTTGTCTTAACCGCCCTGTGACGTTTCCATATGCTACCTATAACATATCTTTGCAAGATCTGGATGAATCCTTGCCTGTCGATAATCACCAGCTCCCTTATAATCTGACCAGAGGCCTGATGCACAAAATTCATGCAAGGGGCTCAGCCCTGGCAACTACCATGGCTTGCGTTGGCCCTTGCAGCCCCAGTTTCATCCAGAAGGTCATCTGGAAGGACGTCAGGTCAAATTAGCACATTATGCTTTTATTATTATAGATTGATCACCTTCTAAATCCTAGGAAAGCAAAATCTCTCTCACCCCCTTTCTTCCTTTAAAACAAATACCCTCCTGCCAAGCACATGGCAGACGCACCTTGGTGTTAAGAACCAAAAGCACGTGAGTACTTTGCTTCCTTGTGTCAGTTGCCCGTGGGTTCACTTTCTTGTTACCAGCATATTTATAAGCTCAGAATTTCTGGGGACGAAGGGTCATACTTTTTGGTTTCGCACCCTGGAATGGAAAACAAGGTCTTCATCACTGTGCAGGGCTCGATAAGTATATATTAGTAAAATAATACCCTTTACACATCATCCATGTTGTGAGGAGAGTGGAGCCATGATCTGCCTAATGTCATGTATCAGAGAGGAATGAGCACTCTGCAGGGAACCCTTCCTCAGCCCTGGCTCAGCGCACAGCACGGGCTCACCTCTGTGACTGCACTCCCTGTACTTCTGCCAACATACGTGCCAGGCCTGCTGTGCATGCTAGTGAAGGCCCTGACATGAAGACCTCTTCTGAACTGGAGAGTCCCAGGGTCAGTGAGCTTTTCTGTCCCCTTTGAACTTCAGCTATCATTCACACTGACTGCTTCTACTCCATGGTCATTGCATCTGGACAGTGGAAATGGTAGAACCCAGAGGGTGATCACTGCCCAGCTTGAAAACCAAGAGTTACCCATCCTTGCTCTCTTAGGAAATCATTTGTTCTCTTTCCTGGCATCCACCTCACTGCTTTAATTTTCCTCCATTAATTTTACCTCTCCTCAAATTAATCTTTCATACTTTCTTCTCCTCCCAGAAAACCTGCCATCACTGTCTCCCCAAGTGGATTCTTAGTACTTTTCCTATGTAATTATTTAGAAACGCTTCTTTCTTCTGGACCACAGCATATTGACAGTATTTCAAACAGGGGATCTAAATTGTATCAAAAAGAACACCTGACTATCTGCAGTTATGTTTTTCACCCTAATTATGCTTAGCTTTTCACACTTCCTGGGGATGTTGAAAGTCAGATAGAATAGATTCTTTTTTGGTTTGCTATTATTGGGCGCATATTGTATGTTTGTATATTTGTGTAAGCACATAGACTAATTTTAAAGTTTCATGTAAAGTTGCTATGAAGATTTTTTTTTTAAATATTAGCTACCTAAATTTTTCCTCTTTTAAAGATACAAAAAATGGGATGGAGGTGGGGGCACTAAAGATTTGTACACTAAATGGGCTAATAGAATTTGGGGGTGGGAGGGATTAAACTACTTTTCATATTTTCCCAAATTGTTGGTTTGTGGGGGGAAATGGTTGCATATTTAAAATCCAGAAGAAAGCTATTTTTTGAAAGAGATGAAATTAAATGACAGTGACAGGAAAACAGGTATCTATAAAGAACATTAGAAAAAAAAATGCCACTCAACTTAGTGATTGTTCTGTGACTATAATTCTGGCACATTTGCTTCCATGACAGCATGTGTGATTGGTTATGAAACTGTTATCAGTTCTGGCAGGTATGTTCATGGAAATGCAGCATAAAGTTTCTTGTTACACACACACACACACACACACACACACACACACACACACACATCTGGAATGAAATTTTCTGGAAATGATGGGGTATGCTAAGCTCCCATATGGTTCCTAACTGAGCTGAAGTCCAATCCATTGCTCTTTGCCTGTGAGAACTTGGTTTGATTTCACTACAACGCCAGCATTTGCCTCCCCAACCTATCCGTTTCCTTTCTTTTTTTTTCTTTTTTTTTTTTTAATAAATCTTTATTGTTCAGATTATTACAAATGTGTTCCTCTTCCCCCTCAATGGCTCCCCTCCACCAGGTTCCCACCCACCCTCTGTCTTTTCCCCATTCCCCATTGCCCTCATCCATAGGTGCACAGTTTTTGTTCAGTCTCTTCCCGCACCCCCACTTCCCTTTTCCCTGAGAATTGTCAGTCCACTCCCTTTCCGTGCCTCTGATTCTATTATATTCACCAATTAATATTGTTCATCAGATTTTTTTAATTCCCTTGGTTTTTAGATTCACTTGTTGATAGTTACGGATTTGTTGTTCATAATTTTTATCTTTATCTTCTTCCTCTTCCTAAATAACTTCTTCAGCAATTCATATAATTCTGGTTTGGTGATGATGAACTCTTTTAGCTTTTTTTATTTGTGAAGCTCTTTATCTGTCCTTCGATTCTGAGTGATAGCTTTGCTGGGTAGAGTATTTTTGGCTGTAGGTTCTTGCTATTCATCACCTTGAATATTTCTTGCCATTCCCATCTGGCCTGCATGGTTTCTGTTGAGAAATCAGCTGACAATCGTATAGGTGCTCCTTTATAGGTAACTACCTGCTTTTCTCTTGCTACTTTTAAATTCTCTCTTTGTCTTTTGCTCTTGGAATTTTAATTATGATTTGTCTTGGTGTGGTCCTCCTTGGATTCCTTTTGTTTGGGGTTCTGCAGGCTTCCTGGACTTATAAGTCTATTTCTTTCTCCAGGTGGGGGAAGTTTTCTGTCACTATTTCTTCCAGTATTCTTTCAGTATCTTGCTCTCTCTTCTTCTGGAATCCCCATAATTCTGATGTTGGTTCACTTGAAATTGTCCCAGAGGTTTTTTAAACTATCTTCAACTTTCTGTATTCTCTTATCTTCTTGCTTCTGCAGAGGAGTGTCCTCTGGCTCTTTGTGTTCTAAATCTTTGTCTTGATTCTTGCGATCTTCCAATCTGTTTTTAGAACTTTGTATAATATTTTTTATTTCAGAAAATGTTTTCTTCATTTCTAGTTGTTCCCTTATTATTTCTAGTTGCTCCCTTTTCATATCCTCATAGGTCTCATTTATTTTATCAGCCTTTTTTAGGATATTGTTGAATAAACTTATAACTGTAGTTTTGAACTCAATGTCCAATCTTTTCTTTTCCTCCATCTCCTTCCTTTGTCTCCTTCCTCTTGTCTGCATTTTGGTTGTTTCCCTGATTTGATGGAATAGCTTTGTGTGCTAGGTGTTCTGGTAGAGCCCAGTAGCACAGCCTTCCCAGTTACTTGCAGTGGACAGTCTTGTTATAGCCCTTTGTGGGCTGTGTGTGCAGTCTTGTTGTTAAGCCTTGCTTATTGTTGTTATCACTGGGAAACGTTGATCTCCAAGCCAATTGGCTGTGAGGATAAGCAGTGTCTCAGCTAGGAGGGCTTCTGTACTCCGCTTGGATAGGGTGGGGTCTCGGGGTGGCGCAGACAATCTTTGGTTCCCTGTCAGTTTCGCCTTAGAAAAGTCCTTCACAGTTCCTGAGGTTCAGCCTGCCTTCTCTCTCCTTCCCAGATGGCAGAGCCTCCTCTCAGCTAGCCATCTGCTGCTTCAGGGCAATGCCTCCCCTGTTTTCCAGTTCTAAATTCAAATTTGTTGTGGTAGGCTGCATTCGGGTGTCTACCCTATGCCGCCATCTTGGTTTCTCCTCCCAGTTTCCTTTCTTAATGTCATTGACAGAATGCACAGGTGAGGGGCATGATCTGCATACATCTGACGTGTGGCCTTAGTAAATATTTGCATATGTGAACACCTGTGTAAGCATCACCTGGCATAAGACACAGAACATGACTAGTCTCCCAGTAGCATCCCTCATGATCCCTTAGAGACACCACTATCCTGAGTTCCATTGCGTTGGTCAATGATGCCTGATCTTGAATGAAATGGAAATGGAATTGTACTGTAGCTGCCCTTTGGGGACTGGTTTCCTTCACTGAGCAAACATTATCTAATTAACTTAGCTTTCATTTGAGAACAGTTTGTTCTTTGTTGTTAAATAGAATACAACCTTTTTTCACCAGACTATCATTTCCTTTGGGTCAGGTTTTATATTCCCCTATCTGTTCTCTTTTTGGTGGTTGCCGTTGCTAATTTTTCTTGCGTTGCTGGTGATCTTTGGTTGTTCTTCACATACATTATAAAAGCAGAAGGCCAGTGTTCTTGGCCATCACGTGCCCCTTGCCTGGATCATATGTTCATGCAAGCTCTGCACATAGAACAATACGAGGAGAGACTGCAGATATGTGCTTGCAAGTACTCAGCAAGCTGCCTCTGCCCAGGAGTGGGGGGCTTTCTTAGAGACATCAGCTTCATGCTGGGAGTCCTCCTCTTCCTGACATTTCGCTCAGATCCCTAGAGAATAGTTTTGTGGCTTTACCTCAGGGACAAACATACCCACTGCTCCCTTTCCCATAGGGTAGTGGGGGCTATGGAAAAGGGAAGGAAGGACTCACACAGTTTGCCAGTCCATTGCCCCATAGTCTGCTCCTCCTCATTCTTTATCTACCAGTCCTGGGTGAGATTTCATCTTGAAACATGGTCCCTACCTCTTGTGCATGGCTTGTTAACTTTCCAGTGATGGGTGGATCTTTCCCCTGGTACCTCTGTGCCCCAGCAACTCTTTATGTAGACTTGGCTGATGGGCTTCAGCTATTGGGTGTGATGCAAAGTGAATGGACTTTGTAGTCACCATGACCAGGGTCCTTTCCAGGTCCAGTCACTTACTGTTTTTGTTGTTGTTGTTTGTTTGTTTGTTTGTTTCTCAGTAAGTTGCTTGCTCCCTCTGAGCCCTTATTTCCTTGCCTCCAGTCAGGTGAGATTGCATATCTGTGAGTTGTGGGAAGAGCTGAGGTCATGCATGGCAGGTGCCTGCCACTGTACCTGCCACATTGGAAATCTATGGGTCCTCCTTTTTATCTCCCCCCCTCCCATGTCTCTTTCGTTTGCTGCCCTCTCTTCTCTCCAGCTCCTAATTCCTATCATCTTGTGCAGGACTTTCATTTCCTTCCTCACAGTCAAGATGAGGCTCCAATACTACTAGCCTGTAAGCCCTAGAACAGCTGGCGCCAACCTCTCGGACCATCAGTGGTCCACAGAGCACCAGTTGGCAACTGCTGCTCTACAACACTCCCCAAATAATTCCAATAAAAAGGCAAAATGCCACATTTCCCTTTGCCATTACCAGATGATTCCGTGACAAATTTATTATGCGCGACCTTTAAAATCTAAACTCCTGCACTCCCCCATGCTCCTATTCAGAGAAGCACGAGGATGGGTGCGGTGTGTTCTGTTGAACATGTGTTTGTGGAAATGACAATGACACTGCATTGGTGACAAGGCCAGTGGAAGCTAAACAAATGTATTGGTAACGTGTAATGAAAGCTGCAAAAGGAAAGCAGCCGCTCTGGGTGTGTGGTGCCCCTGAGGGCTGTGAGGTCAGGCAGCAAACACAGAGCTTCCTGCGGACTGCTCCACTGGGGCTCTCCACTCAGCCACCCCAGCTTTGGCAAATCTCCCAAAGGGGGTGGACTCCTGTGCTGCTGCTTCCATTGCTCTGGCCTTGCATTATTCTCCAGGTTAAGCTCTTGGCTCAGAAACAGCCAATCTTCCCAGGGTGAAGGTGGGGTGTCTTGGATTCCCACTGCCTCTCCTGTACTCCCCACACTGGGGAGTCAAGCCCACAACCCAGGTCCATGCCCTGACCTGGAATTGAATGGTGACCTTCTGGTTCATAGGTTGATGCTCAGCCAGTGAGTCATGCTGCCTGAGCAGGTTGCCTTTTTAGTATGTATCCGGGTGGTTCTTTCTGACAAAAGAGAGCTGAGAGCTCCCCTGGACCGAGCTCTGTCTGGCTCCATTGCAGGCCAGCCCTTTGTGAATCCCGATGGAAGCCCTGCCATCTACAACCCCCCCACCAGTCAGCAGCCCCTGCGCGGCACCGTGGTGGGGCCGGCCCAGCAGCAGCCCCGGCAGCAGCCCTCTCCGCAGCCGCAGGTGCAGCCCCCGCAGCCGCCTATGACGGGCCCGCTGGTCACTCAGGTGAGGAGCTGGTTGGAAGGCAGGGGGGTGCGGTCTAAGACAGAGACTGCGGTCTTCAATATTCTCCTCCATCCTCTCCTAAGTCAGACCTGGCAGCCTGGGTCCTTGGTTGCAGGGTGACAGGATCTCACCTGGATCCTTAAGTTTAGATAGAAATGATGTCCCATCCGATGACTTACCTGGGGAGGACATGGGACTAGGGAGAATGCATGGAGAGTTTTTTCTTAGGTCCAGATGCCACTTTTATGTATCAGGGCTTATTCCCACCCAGGCTTTGGTATCACTGGCTCACCCATTCCCAACACAGAACAAGTGTGCATGTCTGCAGAGAGTCAGTATTGCAATTTTAAATCAATGAGAAGAAGAGAAACCAGTTAATTTCTAGGTGGCCTGGCTGTTCCCACAAGCCTTAGAGACCCAGAACTGCCCTCCATTGCCTCGGGTGACAACGTGAAACCTGAGGGGTTCAGGTAGCTTGTGGGAGCGGACCTCCTTTTAAGTATTTTTTTCTCCTTACTTCTGAGTCCCTGGAGGTGGTAGATTTATTTGGCAAATCTCCCTGAAGGTGTAGATTTCTTTATTGCATCTTAAACTGCTCTGCTTACGTTATTATCTGGCTTAACCAGATGGCTCAAAAACAGTCAGATCTTTGCATGGGGGAAGGTTCTGGGCAATAGTTTAGACCCAGAGGATCTAACTAACAGCATGAAAACGTAGCAGCACCTTCTGCCACGAATGTTCACGCTGAGCAGACAAGCCTGCCTCAAGCTGGCTGCCTCTGGCCTGCATGGATCTCACTATCCCTGGTGGCCGGCTCCCCCCCCCCCTCCTCCACCTCATCCCCCAGTGTCCATGGAGCAACAACCTAGGTGGAAGGGTGGGGGGCAGGGAGGGTGGTAAGCTCCATTTGACGGCCTTCGATGGAATTTCAACCCCCATGCTTCCCTGTTACCTAATCAACTTCTTTCTTTCTGCAGTCTGTCCCGGGGCTGCAGGCTTCCTCCCAGTCAGTGCAATATCCGGCAGTTTCTTTTCCTCCCCAGCATCTCCTGCCTGTGTCTCCGACGCAGCAGTTCCCCATGGTAGGACTTACATGTGTCTGACTTCCCCGCTTGTGTTCTCTTGGTTTTACCATGTTCCTGGGTAGGGCTGGCTGATGCCGGGTGGGTGCCCTGGGCTGACTATGACTGTGTGTGTGTGTGTGTGTGTGTGTGTGTGTGTGTGTGCGCGCGCGCTTATGTTTCATTCCATCCTGGAATCTTCAAAATCCTGTGTTTTCTTTTTGTCATCTGTCCCACGTTGAGTGCTTCTGCAATCTGGTACCTTTTAAAGAGTTTACCAGCTAAGAGAAATTAAATGCATTCAGAATCAGAAGTCCATAGAAACATGTCAACTTGGTATGAGGGTTTGGAAATACCTAAAAGTCAGTGTTGAGATAGTAACCATCATCATCCTAAGCCCTTTAGATAGATGTTCCTCTCATACCCCCATCCCCCAACTTCCACTTTACTTTCCCTCCATGTACTAGGTCCTTGTGGACAATTACAGTGAATATCGCCACTAAACCTCATACCAGGCCAGTGAGGGAAGACTCCCTGATAAACAAATGGGGTCCCACCCAGCCTGTTGGTGATGCCAGTCCTGGTTCCTTCTTTGCAGCCGCCATGGGTGACCATGGCCATGGGTCCTTCTGCCTCTCCACAGAGACACGTCCAGTGGTTACTGCTGGGAAGACCAGCTGACCCTTCAGGACAGAACATCAAGCCCTCCTTATCTCAGCACCATCCCAAGGAGCCCAAGCCCTTATTGAAAAAAAATAGTTTCCACTGAAAGAGGGAGATTTAGGTCAAATTGTTTGCCATCCTGTTCCTTGGGATGATTAAATCTGATTTTTCTTGTTCTGGACCCAAAATATTTTATTATTTTTCAATGTGTACTGCCTGCTTCTCCCCCAGTGACAAGCATGTGGCCTGTGTCTGCCTCTTCCAGTACTAAGCTGATCTTGCTGATTTCCTCCTTAATCTCTATGTCTTGCAGAGAGAAGACATGGCAACACAGTTTGGTCAGATGACCCTGAGTAGGCAATCCTCAGGCGAGACCCCTGAGCCCCCATCCGGCCCTGTCTACCCACCATCCCTCATGCCACAGCCTAACCAACAGCCCAGCTATGTCATTGCCTCCACGGGCCAACAGCTCCCCACAGGCGGGTTCTCAGGCTCTGGACCTTCCATCTCTCAACAAGTCCTCCAGGCCCCTCCCTCTCCACAGGGATTTGTGCAACAGCCTCCACCTGCACAGGTGAGTGTGCTTTTTCTCACACCTGTGACCTGTGTGTAGTTGATCTGTAGTGCACTTGGACCCCTGTCTTTCCATGTGGAGTGTCACCAGTTCCTTCGGGTCCAGACGTGTATTCCCCACCTGCAGGGCTTGCTCTGTCCTTGTGCAAAGCCTTTGGGGCTCAGAAAGGAAGATCAGTGAAACCCAAATGCCATTTTACGGTGGGGAAACATCTGTTTTCCAGACCCTGCTAGTACAGAGGCCACGGGGGGCTGTCCCTTCCCTGCAGCGCCCTGCTCACTGGCATGGCCAGGAAGGAAAAGCCTTGGGCAAGAAGGAAGCCTGCTCCAGTGGGGTGCCGGTTGTTCTCTTGCTGCTGCTCTGGAAATCCGTCCTTTTCCGTTATTTAAAAAAAAATTTTTTTAATTGAGAATCATTGATTGGCTGCCTCCTGCGTGCCCCATACTGGGGATAGAGCCCACAACCCAAACATTTCCCCTGACCAGGAATCAAGCCATGATCTACTGACTCATAGGTTGATGCTCCACCACTGAGCCATGCTGGCCAAGCTCATTCTTTCCCTTCTTGTGGATTCAAAGCATTTTTCTGGAGCAAACCTGGTGCTCCAGGCAGGAGCTCCTCGGTAACATAAAGGAGGAAGCTAAGCCAGCAGCCGCTGTCCCCCCCTCTCTCCAGGGGGAAGTTGAGCTCAATGGTACTCGCACAAGTAGCCATTAATCATATTTAATTGACTGGAGCATGTGTGATGCCACAGATCACTGATTTTTACTGTCTTCTCCAAGACTGATGATGTGTTGCTATTCACCACCAAACATCTCGGGGGCTCTCCTGAGTGTCCCTTGCAGAATATTGCAAGTGATTACTGTCAAGATGTAAAATGCAGAGAGGCATTTGCTGGTTCATTTTCAAGGCACACACAGCTCAAGCAAATTCCATCCTAATTATGAAATATTGTATTAGATGAGCTGCTTTAAGTAAGGTGTCAACTTCTTATCAGTTGTTTCATCACCATTATATCTTGAATAATTTTCTTTTCAAGCCATGCAAAACCCTCCACCATGAAATAATTTTTAACTCAGATGTTCATTTTATTTAATATAGTTTGTCTCCAGTTGCCTTCTCGGGGATATCTTTTTGCTAATAGGATTTATGAAGATGTGTAAGACAATTTTAAGTTATAGGAGAAAGGGCTTCATTATTGTATTATTTTTTTAATAAATACTTTAAGCATAATTATTGGGGAAATTACTATAAAATAGCATAGAAGTGTTCTTATCCATTTCTGCTGTTGAAGAGATGGAAAAATATTTAATTAAAAGATTTTTTAAAAGTCCTTCCTCCATGAAGGAATTTCTATTAGTGGACAGCCAGAGCAAAGATAGCTCAGAGCCTCTGGTATGTTTGCAACAGACTTAAAAATAGAAAGAGGAATGGGGTAAACAAAACAGGTGTTCCATTATTCATGATCAGTTTGGACATCCATGAATTTGTTTTAGAAGAAATAAAGATGAAAATATAGGTTATAACCCATAGTGATTTTAAATGATTTTAAGTAAACATTTTAAAATTGATTACTCAACTATGAACAATGAAAAGAACTCTTAAGATATAGTCCATGGGCAGACATGGAAACACACTAAACTTATGCTGAGAATGATCTTTTTAATACCTTGAAGGTCAGTTTCATTTTTATAAAACAAAAAATTTCAGTCTTTTAAAACAACCACCATGACTAGGTCAGCAGTTTGAACAGGACTTGGCAGGGATAGCTCTTCTCTCTGCACATGGCATTGGCTGGGGTGATGTGCCTGGGGCTGGAACATCCAGATGGCCTCACCCCCATGCCTAGAACGTTGGGGTAGCCTGTTGACTGTGGTGCCTCTGCTCACCCCAGGATCTTCTCCAGCTGGGTAGCCTGAATTCTTGTTTTGGTGCCTGGGCTCTCCTCCCACAAAAGTGGAAGCTGCAAATCTTCTTAAGGAGTCTTCAGAGTCATCATTTCTGCCTCGTGGGGCAGCTCAGATTCAAGGGCGTGGGGAATTGATTTCCACTCTCCATGGGATGGTATCATGTACACCTGCCCAGGCTTGGAGAAGATTTTGATTGGCTGTGTTTATAATCTCCTACAAGGATTTCATAAGATGACAATATATTTTAGGTTTAAAAACTTTACTTAATGTACAGTTGTCATTCCCTGTTTTTCCCTTTCTCCCACAGATGCCCATCTATTACTACCCATCTGGTCAGTACCCTACCTCAACCACGCAGCAGTACCGGCCCATGGCCTCGGCTCAGTACAGTGCTCAGAGAGGTCAGCAGATGCCGCAGACAGCACAGCCAGCAGGTACGTGAAATGTGTCTCCCATCTCCTCCTCTCACCCACTTACTTTTGCACATAAATCTCAGCTGTCCCCTCCGGAGGAATATTCAAGTGCAGCGATTTATACCAGCTCATTCCCCTTTCCTGGGGAAGATGATGGGGCATTATATTAACTCTTTGTGGGAGATAATAGGTACCAGAAGACTTCACATCCCAGGCATGCATGCTAAGCACAGTCTCCATCAACTAATTGGGAATCTTCTTAGATTATTTTGAAGCAGAGAGACAACCATACCTCTCTCTTCCTAGTGCAGACCTTTTTATTTACCCCCCCCCCCCACGATTTCAACCTTAAGAGAATTCTTCCCCAGTTCCTAAGGCTAGGGGACCACGTTAGGTTGTGGGAACTCTGTCCTACAAAGCCCTGTTGTTAGAAGAAGCCACTGACATTGCAGCCTGTGTCCTGGTGCAACTCTGACTCCACGGCTCCCTGTCCCAAGGGCCACCCGCCTCCGGCCGAGCTCGGCAGCCACTGTGCAGTGGGAAGGGGGGCCGATGCACTGTACGAGAGTGAGTAGCAGGTCTCACAGTGAACCGGTCTCTTTCCCTACTGTGTCACACTCCTAACGGGATGCCGGTGCCCAGACAGCAGCAGCCGCCTGGCAGGGCTGGGGGACGGGTGCTGGGGGGAGGGGTCTGTCCCTCCTGCTGACCACACCGCAAAGCTCACTGTCATGCTGAAGACCAGACCGCCGGACTGGGGAGCCTGCCTGCCTTCCGTAAGTAGGTTCTGTTAGAGCAGTGCCCCCCAGGGCTGCTCACCCATGCCTGCTCCATCGTCTGTCACTGATTTCTGCACTGAATGTGTGTATACAGTAGCTACAGATGTATGTGTGTGAGAGAAATAGAAGTTGTACCACTATTATAAGCTATGACAAAAAGTAGTCCTTTCTGAGGATTGATACCAATAACACCACACACACACACACACACACACACACACACACACACACACACACACAAAACATTCATGCTGACACTGGCAGCATTTTGTCAGATTGGAGCAGTGATGATGTTCCTCTGTGTTTGGGAGAGCTATGGGGTCTTTCAGGTGACCTTGTGGCCATTTAAAGGCTGTGGGAGAGGAATTAGAGAAACATGTAGCATCCAACCAGAAGCTGCCTTGTGTCAACACTGTGTCAGTTTGGGAAGCATTGGCTGTTGACCTCTGAATTGATGTTATCCCTTTTCAGTAATAAGGAAACGAAAGGTTTCAAAAAGTTGTTTTGAAAAAGAGCATTGGGTGCAATTTTCTCTGTTGGAAACAGTTATTATCTGTCATCTGGTGGTAATTGTGTTATCCATTTCTATATGGACTACAGTAATGTGTTGTTTTGCATCTTGCACTATCTTATTTTCTTTGGAGAATGTGTATCAAAGAATTACCTTACTCATAATTTTTTAGCTATTGGTCCAAAGGCCATGGTGAAGGTTCCTAATGCCTTTAGTAGGAGGAAGGTGGATTCCGCTAATTATACAAATATTTTTGAATTTTGTTTCTTGCCATTGTGCGACTGAAACAGATATTTCGGTCCTGTGTTAGAGTGTAGTTGATGTATAGGAATGTGGTTATAAATGTTCTGGAACCCATGAACCCTGTAATCTCTGGGTCCATGGGAGGGACCAAGGAAGGTGGATGGATGTGTTAACTGGGCAGCAGACTTGGGTATAAACAAGCCTCAGGTTTCCTCACGAGTGTCCATATAAGAACATGTGATCTCGTTACGATAAAGAGAGAGAGAATTTAGGGATGCAGAAGCCACCCTCCCCATCTCAGAGAGCACTAATTAGCCTCAACCATGTTCCGTGGCAGCCTGAGGGCTTTGACTGGTCCCAGGCTCCCACCTCACCATGGAAGTGCCACCCCCAGGCGAGAGAATGACACTGCCATCAGAAGAATACCTTGGGGAGCAGTATCGTGCTAGAAATAGAAGCAAGTGCATTAGGTAGGAAGGAAGGGAGTGGCAGCGCATGTGATCTTGTGGGAGATTGGGGAGGTGAGAAAAGAGAAATGATACATGAACAGTGCTTTTCTCTTAGGGAAACATCAGTACACACATGTGGACTGAGACCTTTGAGCAGCTAGTTCTTGTGGTCATTACAGGTGACAGCAGACCTAAAGTCCAATGCCATTCCCTCTGCGGTGTTAAATTTGCTGAAGGTTTGAGAAGGCAGATGATGTCACGTGACCTCACTGAGAATCACCTCTGCTAATAAAATCCAGGACCCCACTCATGCAGTGTCTTAGGACATTCATGGAGGCTCCTGGTCCTACAGGTGGCGGCCCTTTTGCTGATTCAGTGACACTGTCAGGCTTTCAGAAAGGGACGTGGCAGAGTAGTTTGGGGGAGCAGCTCTTTGTCAACGGGCTATCTCCTAGAGGACGTAGCCTCTCTGAATAACTATAAAAACATTATTTCTTGAAGGAGCTCAAAGACAGGCCCTCTCTATCTTTAAGTTAACCTTGAACTGGTGTTGGCATGGCACACCCAGTGCCCTGCCTCACTCTTCCTCCTGTCTCCCACAGTTCTGCATCCTGGATCTGACTCTCTTACATCTTACTAGTATGGACACCAGATTGTAGCATAGCAAATCCACCTCTCATGTGATTAAGCATTGGAACGAGACAAGGTTATGTCAGCTGAAACCAAATGAGATTTTAATCCTAATTTGATTCTTGGCATCATTCTTAATCTCTGTTTAATTACAGCAACTTCAAGGACACTTTTCTATTATTAGTTACTACATGTTTCTAAAGCCTGAACAGTATCCATAGTGGGATTTTAGAAAGCAAATGGGATGTTCCGTAATTGATAAAAAGGACACTTAAGTGACACTTAGGCCCATTGAGGGGTCACTTAGGCCCATTGAGGGGTCATAAGAGCCTTTGATGGGTGATTTTGAACCCTTTGCTCTGCGAATGGGTGATCAAGGTGCTAAGCATGTGGCAGGAGCAGCTTATGTTGGTGGTGATTATAAATAAAGGCCATGAATGTTAAAAATTTTGAGAAATTTAAGTAGCAGGCTTGCAAAATGGTATTTGAACTTTGTAGCTACCTATGTGAGAAAAAGTAAAACCTTTATTTATATGTCTCTTTTGGTTAGCACCAATGTCACCATGCTGTTACTTTTTTATAGGATGTTTAGGGTGTTTATTAAAGCTGGGGACAGTGAATCAAGGGCCTAGGAGGGGAACTGAGCCAGGTTGGACCGCTTTGGCTCATTAAGTCAGAGAAAAGGAGGCCTTGGGAACAGAGTCAGGGGTTAGGCCCAGGCTGAGCTGCTGCTACTCACTGTTTTTACTCTTAATCAATAACATCTTTGAGGCCACAGAAATGTTAGTAACAATTATATACAACATGAGATCAAGATCTCTTATGGGCTAGTTGCTGTACTTAGTGTTTATCAACCTTGCAATGTTTACTCCCCACCGAAAAATTATAAGGGAAGTGCAGCTGTTAGCACTCCTGCTTTACAGACAGGTAAACTGTGGCTCAGAGAGGTGAAATGGGTTACTCTGGGTCACAAGGTTGAGTTGAAAGGAACAGCCAGGTGGTCATTAACCACTTCATGGTAACAACTTAAGCAAGTTACTAGTTCTGTCTTTATTGGTGACACAGATGATCACATAGAAATGTGCATGTAGGAACTAAATAAGTAGGCCTTTGTTACAGAAGCAGATGACAATTATTCAAATGCACACGTTGGCTTAAGAACAGAACATATCAGGAGCCTGTACTTTTGCTTCCCAATGCACCATGCGTTTCCATATGACATCCCAGATCTGGACAACAGCAGATGGCAGAGAGTGGCTGAAACATTTATGCATAAATTACACATTGGAAAGGGCAGGGGGAATTCCTATAAGGTAGTGTTTCCAACTTCACTTAAAAGGAAATATATGTAGCATCATTTTTGGCTCTCCAAAATCTTGGACATATCCTAAAAGAAACAAAAATGTGCTTGTAAGGTCCTATATGTGTTGACAAATGGACTTTTGGGGATGATAAATCGTGGTTTGGTATCAGAATAATACTGGAATCATAAAATGAATTGCAAAGTGTTTCTCTTCTCATTTTTAAAAATTTCTATTGTTGCAAGTATTACAATAAGTATATTGTTGCAAATATAATCCTTTCCTCCCCCATTGACCCCTTCTAGCCCATCCTCAGGCCTTCCCCACACTATTGTCTGTGTGTATGGGTTATGCATGTATGTATCGATATGTATGCAGATTCCTTGGTTAACCACTCTCCTATGTTTTGAAAGAAATTCTGTAAACTTGGTGACACAATGTTTGATAGATTATTCCAGTTAAACCATTTATGCTCAGAGTTTTAGAAACATTATTGTTTACTTTATATATTTGAAGATAATTTCCAGAGCTTTTTAATTATGAATTCAATTAATTATGATTATAGAACTACTCAGACTATCTCATCTTTGCTGACTCTTGGTAGCTTGTGGTAATTGAAGAAATGTCCATTTCATCCAAGTTGTTAGCAGGACGCATTATCCTTTTAATAGCTACAGGATATGTTGTGATACCCTGTTTCATTCTTGATACTGGTGACTTTTATTTTTTTTTTTTTATTTTTTTTTTTTTGTTCTAAAATTTCAATTGAATATTATTTATAATACCAATAATTCTTCACAATTGTTAACCACGGGATGATGGAACAATTTATTTTACATATTAGTTTGGGGGGTTTGTGTATTCCCAAGTTGGGAACCAATTTGTAGTCATGTCCCAAAAGATGTGGGAAATAAATAGTAAGTCTGAGAGAAGTACTTAGATGAGGGAAAACTTTCAGGACAAAACCATCATTGCTTTTTGCTAGAGTTTGAATGAAACTAAATAAGTGAAAATAGTGTTGTCAGCATTAAAAGCAAATATCTTCACCATCATTATATCTTTTCTTCTATAATAGATTTTATTTTATTTTTTTTTTTTTATTTATTTA